GAGACCCTCTGTGCTGGGGTCTCACACTAAGGGCACAACCTTGATCCTCTTTTTGCCTGAGTTTTCTCATGTGTAAACGTGGAAGGGGAGGATCTGTTCATAGTTTTGGGATAAAATCAAAGATAATAAACATAAAGCCCCGAGAGCAGTGTCTGGCATAAAGCAAGTGTTAAATATTCCCTTACTTTTATTATTACTCTTTTAAATGATTAAGAAAGGCCTCTAGGGGTGGACCTGAGATGCGACAACTGGGTCAGAGAGAGCAATGTAGATTTCACTTGGCCTTCAGGTGCCAGGCAGCCATGGGACCCTCTGGCCAGGGAAGGGTGGGATCAGGGGGAAGAGGGCTCCAGACAGGGCTCATCACGACCTGGCCTCCTAAGAGGCAGCAAAAGCACGGGCAGACAGCCGGGTTTGGAATTCCCGCTCAGCCCATTGTGTGAGCTTCTGAACCTCTCCGTGCCTCAGTTTTCTCATCTGTAAAATGGGCTGCTGGAAGAAGCCCATTAAGTGAACTAGTGCATGGAAATGTCTTTAAACAAAGCTCATCACATTGTGAGTGCTTAGTAAATGTTGGATATTTTGATTATCCAACTTCCCAGACCTTGCCTTGGCCTGGGAATGGTTTTCCTATATGGGACTTAGTGAAAACCTCTCTCCGACATTCTATTTATTTCAGTTCTCTTGAGATGGATGAAGTGAGGAGATGGAGTTGTGGGGGTGAGTGTTCTGGGACCAGGGTTGATAGCTGGTAGGGTGTCCCCAGTTCTGTTTGCCTGTTTAACTACTGTGGGAGCAACTTCTTTGGGAGTCCCCCCAAGTCCCACGGACGAAAGTGAATATGGCCAAGACATTGTGGTGACCTGTTTAGGGGAAGAGAAGTGGGCAGTGGGCAGTTTCTCAGGGGGAGACAAAGGCCAGCAGCGGCCAGTTTCTCCAAGGAGAAAAAGACCCGGAGCGCCCTCTTCCATAGCTTTTTATTGGGTTGTAATACACAGGAATACAGGGTGGCAAGGATCAAAGAGTAGATAACATTTCAAAGATATCTGAGTGCTTATTTTGAGTCAGTGTCTGTCAGGAAGAGAGTTGCAGAAACTTTGGGAGACATACTCATTTCCTCTTGGACCCTTATCATATGAATGAAAGCACTCTTAGCAGAGCAGATTTCACAGGTTCATCAGCAAGTCTTTGTGATGCCAGATTTTCCCCCAGGACATGCTCTAGCAAAGCAAGAAGCTGCACCTCTCCCCAACAGGTAGTCAGGCTTAAGGGGATTAGAGCCAGGAAGTGCTTCTCCCAGAGGACACGGGACTCAGGCTTTGACAAAGCTGGGGGGCAAGAGTCCACTGCTCTCTGTTGCAGCCCCCCAGTCCTTCCATGAAGGCCTCCCAAGTGATAGAGGCTTAGGTTGCCCCCCGCTGTGAGGGGTCTTACCCCCAAATTATGAACTGCTGGAGAGAGTTTTCCTCACATTAAATCTGAAGACAACCTGGTGCTGTTCATAGAACTGGTGTCAGGCGGTGTATTTGCAGGAGCAGCCTTCCTTTATGGAAGGTCTGCAGAAAACGTGCTATGTGCACACGTACTCAGGAGTCAGAGTTGAGAAAACCCTGAGAGAGGTGCAGACAGATGAGAGCCTCTCCCCATTCTTTCTCCAACTGTGGGCCTGCAGGAATCTTTCTTTGCTCAACGATAGTTAAAAGGGGGATCATATTTTGACCAATAAAAAATCTGATGTTCTCAATGTCCTCTGCTAAACAGTTAGGAGCAAATCCTCCTGTGAACTAAACCTCTCCTCCCAGGAGCAGAAAGCCTCTGTCAAGCCACCTGTACCCTTGCACTGCAGTCAATGCTGCCCATAGGGTCCCCAGCACTCCTCTCCCCTGTGCTACCCTCTGGCCAAGGACTGAGTCATGAATGAGCTGCTGTGTTAGCCAGCGCCAGGATAGAGTTCTGAGGCATTGTTTCTGCTTGTCAGCTTCAGGTTTGGTGCTCTCAGCCAAGGGCACCATCTGTGAGCATTCCCTGATGACTTTGACCAGAGTTCCATGTGGACCCTTGAAATGCACCAGTTCCACGTTCCTTCATTCCCATCACCCTGCGGGGAGGTTTCAGAGAGGTGGGTGGTCTCTCCTCCTACCTGGAAGGTGAGCTGCTCAGAGACAGCCCCATTTTCCCGGCACTGAGAGGCAGGTGTTTTGCCATGTCTTATGGCACACTCCCCTATCAGGGTCCCGTGCGGAGACAGCAGTACCCATTACCATAGTCAGGAGCTTGAGTGACCTGGCCCGGTAGACATATTTTAGTTAAGGTCCCATGAAGTCTTCATGAAAAAATGATCCGCATCCTTGAGCTGCTAAGCCTTTACGAACTGTTAGACCTTGCCATGGGTGACAGAGAGTTGGGATAATTAATGTTTACTGCTAACGGACCAGCACTCCAGAGTGGGGGAAACCTGGGGAAGGAGAGCCACAGTTCTCGGGACATCTTCTAGGCCAGCGTTCCTGGACCTTTTTCTCTTTTTAATAGCCACCCCACTCCTAGGGGCCTTTTAAGGCATTTGTTTTCCTAGTTGTCCCACCCTCTCGAAATGTAATAGCAAAGATACACTGCTTATCTGAGTATATACTATGGCCCCAGGAGGGCCACAAACCATTGTAATGTCTGAGATTTTTTTTGTCCCTGAAGAACCACTTTTTACTTCTTTGAGGGTGATACTATCTCTATTGAGGATGCATATTTTAGTCTGAGACTCTTTGGCCTTCCAGCCCTAGCTATAAGAGCAGGGGTAATTTGGGGTGAGCGGGAATACAGGAAGACAAAATAGGAGATGGACAGATTCCATAAAAGAAGCCAGGACCATGAGTCTACAGGAGCTGAGCAGGGCTGTTGCAGGACACTGTGGAGATCATTCATTCATTAGGTCACCAGAAGTCAGAGCCAACTCCATGCCGTGCAACACAACACAGAGGGTTAGTGCATGTGTACAACAAGTGTGCCTGAGACCTGGAGCCACATAGAGGCCACTTAGTGTGAATTCTAGGAAGACGGGGACATTCTGTTTCTCCAGCTTCCGATATGCCACTTTCACAAACAAGATAGATGACTATCTTTAGGCAAGCAACTTGGTCTGCATTTAGGATAATTTCCTTGCTTTTTTAAAAATTAAAAAGGAAAATCATGTCAAAAAAGAAGCAGCATGTTTCAGCACTTAAACACTCCTAGTCAATATCCAGATGAGTATCCCAGGGATGCCGAAGAGAACCTATCTCTTCCCTGGGCCTTTGTTAGGATTTCATGGTATACTTTTTACAAGTATTTGCTAATTTGAAACGCAAGATGATAACTCATTGTTGCTCGAATTGGATTTCTTGTGTAATCAGTGAGGGGAATTTTTAGATCCCTTTATCTCGTTGAAGGGTGAAAGATAAATCAGTGTGCTTGAAGTAGCCCACTGAGTGCCCCGCCCAGTGTGGCGGCTGCATCTGTTCTTTCCCGCTGACTTCTCACGCCTCCCTTAATCTTCTACAAAGTTTTGTCTGAAGTATTGACATCTTGATGAGGACAGCTGCTTGGAATTTTGAAATCGGTTTTGAATGAGAACTCTTTAAAGGCAATTATGCTGTGGGGACAGACCACATTGCCTGCACTTTGGCAAACTTGAGTGCGGACACCTGGGCTGTCTTTACTGTCAGCAGCCAAGACATGGTGAGTTCTTGGTGGAAACTCTCTCTTGAGCAGTTATAAGAATTGGAAGGCCACTCTGAGGAATCACTGAGGCCTGGATAATTCCTTGAAGGTCTGCTTTTGTCTGGTTCAGATTTACCTTTTGGTTAGTGTCAGTTCTGGCATGAAAGTTCCCGTGAATGCTGAACTGAGCAAAAAAAAAAAAAAAAAAAAAGGAAGAGGCAATATCCGTTCATTCCATAAGTACGTACTGAAGGCCCACCATGGTACTGACTGTACAAAAGTGTTTCAGACTAGGTCCCTGACCTTTCAGGGCTCACAGTCCAGTGGGGAGATAGACATGCAAATGGGTGGCTGAGGTACAGAGTGGCAAGTTCTATAATGGATGCACATTAAGTTAGGAGGAGAGATGGATAAAAGTTTGGCCAGCTTTCTCTAGTGAGATAAGGAAGGGTCAGGAAGAAAATGAAAAGAGAACATGATACTGAAGCTCCATCTTGGAGAACCTAATGGTGTTCATCAAGTAGACAAGAGGGGCGAAGCATCCTGGATGTACTGAGGCACGGAGCTCTGAAAGAGCATGGCATTTTGTGCAAAAGGTGGGGAGTAAAAGGTGACAAAAGTGACAGAGGGACTTGAATGCTGTCCCGAGGCGGTTTCCTCATTTTCAAAGATGCCATTGTAATAAAGCATGGCCAGACCCATTTTAGGGAGGTAAATTCAGAATTGTCTGGAGGCTAGGGTGGTGGTGAGAGCCTGAGTGCCGAAAGCAACTCTGCTAGTGATGTTGTCGTTATAACCAGGCAAGCGAATTCTTGGAATCATTTTCCTACCACAGTCTTTGGAAAGGGAGTAGCAATTGGATTAACAAGGAAAATAGAGCAGCCACAATTATTTAAGAGGTGTATTCAATAAAACGTGGTGACTACATGTATGTGTGAGTAACAAGGGTGAAGGAACAGGTGGGGATGAAGCCCCCATTTCTGTTGGACAGCTGGGCAATTTGAAGTCCAGGAAGTATAGCAAGTGTGAGGTATGGCCGTTTAAATAGGAGGTACTCCTTGAGCTTTTAGATAGAAATGCAAACAAATAATTAGGAATATGTAGTATTGGATGTACTAATACTTGCCAATACTTTCTTGGGTTGCTTTTGGTATTTTAAGAATGTTGCACAATTTTCAGTAATGCTACTAGTTATTTGTTGATGTGATGCCAAAGAGAAAAACATGGAGATGTTTATTTCATGGGGTACCAGAGGTCAATTTCGACTAATTTTCTACTTATATTCTCATATTTATATCTTCTCATTCTAGGGGATGGCCAGGTGGATTTTGATGAATTCATGACAATTCTTGGCCCTAAACTGGTGTCTTCAGAAGGCCGTGATGGTTTTCTTGGAAACACAATAGATAGCATATTCTGGCAGGTAAGTAAGAGTTTTTTTTTTAAAGATTAAGTTTAACAGTAAACATCTGTGTAGGACAAATTATTGACTCTGAGTTCTTGGGCTTCTGTACAGCACATGATGCTCTCCTCTGAGCTGGAATGACAGACGCTCCTTGTTGTCTAAATTGAGTCCATACTAGGTCCTGTGCTCCTTGTTGTCTAAATTGAATCTGTACTTGGTCCTCTGAACAAAGAATCAGAATTGCACTCCTATAAAGGCTTGGAGGAATGAAATATCCCCTTATTCTTTCTTTTTATCAAAAAAAGTTTCACATTTTAAAGAAATGAGATTTCTGCACTTCTGGTTCACAAAAATCTTTTTCCTTGGGACACTTAAAAAGGACATATCAGTATTATCTGAGCTGAGTTCTGTCCCTGTGTCCAGGAGACCCTTGCTGAGAGGATGTCATGGTTATCTCATGTGTTGGGTTGCTGTTGATACTCTTGTACTTAATAGGACAGAAGGGTTTTACCTAAGAATTTGTGTTCAGTGCTTCTCAATTTGCTCCTATTTCTGTCTTATAAAATCTCTTGGGAAAATTCCCAAAATCTAACTTTGAATTATTAATGTGCTATGAATCATTAATCTTATAATGTGGTTATTGTTTCTTGATTATGAAATTTTGAGAATGGGTTTTCAATGACTGTTAAAAATTGGAGTCAAATAATTTGACAGGTTAAATTGACTTACTGGTTGGACATATAAAACACCACTCAAACACAGCATGGTTTCTTTAATTTCTTGATGTGTTTTTTCCTTAACCAAAGATGTTTCTGTAACTTGGGTAAGGATTGCAGTTGATACGTATCTTTCATCTGATTCTGTTACTCATCTTGTGTATAACCAACAAGTAGTAAGAACTGGTCATGTGCCTTGTACTCTAACAGTCACTGTGATGACTGTTAGATGACTGATTTTACAAAAGATGTTTAAGACACAGTCCTTGCTAAGAATTTGGCTGGGGGAGCATAGTTAAGAACGAGAAAATAAAGAAGTGATTAATTAGTGTTATGGTTACTAGATCGTAATCTCCTTGAAGCTGGGGACTTTGTTGTCATGGCACCCTTGGCAACTGCCACACTGCACACAGCAGACCCTCAGTAACATGTTTTTTAAAAAATAGAAAGTACGGAAATTTAAAAAGATGTGTGGTCTTGAGGGGTCAGATAAGGCTTCAGGAAATGGGCCACTTTTTCACATCTTGAAATATGAGGGAGATGAAGTAAGCAAAGACAGAAAAGAGCATTCTTGGCCTGTCACGATGAGAGTTTGGAAAGGGTGAGGCTATGAGTGTAGGAAAGGCATTGACCACAACACAGGTACCACAGTAGTTCAAAGGGAAAGACCTCTGGACCCCTGGCAGAATGGATTTAGGGCCTGAGGAAAGAGAAGAGTTGACATGGGTTGACTCCAAGGTTCCCAGGTAGCTTTTATGGACAGGAATAAGATCATGGAGAAAAGAAGTCTTTGTGCAATTCTAAACTGGACATGTTGGATGTGAAGTGAAGTTCAGATAACCAGGAGGAGAAGGAAAATCTGTACTCAGCTAAAGTCAGGGATGGAGACCGGGGCTGAAAACCGGGGGGTTCCTTAGAGCTGGTGGGTGAAATCCAAGGCAAGGAGGAGCTCCCCGGGGGAAGATGCACAGATGAAGGCAAGCAGAGAGACAGGGCCTGTTCTTGGAGAATCTGTGGCAGGGGACCTCGAGATGGGGCCCCTGATCTCCACCCTGCACAGACACATCTGGGGAACACTGTCTTCCCCTGCTGTGGTCATGAGCAGCCCCGATTCTTCCTTGAGAAGGACCTCCGTGACTCTACTTGCCATATAATAAAAGTGTTTTGCATGAACCCTTCAGGTATGACTCCTTCAGGAATGACTCCATGTTTGGAAGGACGGACAGGTAGAGTGCCCTGGCAAAAATAAAAAAATAAATGTACGGTTCAGAGGGTAGAGAAACACCTCTTCCTGCCTGGCCTTCTTTCAACCCATGCGGATCCACTCTGGGTGAGAATAGGCTGTTCTCTCCCTGGTTTCCCTTCTTCTCTGCTCCCCTTTATTCCCCACTCAGAGTGCTTTCTACCCTCATGACCCATCCAGCCTAGAAGAACACTGCAAGGTCTTCCAGGCCCTAAGCATTCTTCTTGGCCCCGAAACCGGAGGCTGCAGAGCCGCTGGCACTTACAGCCTCACATCTTTTGGGTTCTTCATAGGAGAACATCTACATGGCAAGGAAATGTATCTCTTGTAATAGATTGACTGCCTCTTCCATAATCTGGATAGGCTACGATGCTCACAAAGCCTCGGTGTTTTTGCCTTATCAAAAACCCTCCCCCTCCCCCAGATGGAAGATGGGATGGGGAAATGAAAGGAAAGGGGGGACATTCCATTCTGAATATTTAAATGAGTGCAGGGATGCACAGACTTGTGGCCGTGGCTCTCCTCTGCTGCTCTCGCTCACTCAGCTCAGGATTGTATGACTAGCAAAGGAGAACAGAGACATCAATCAATTCTCAGTAGTTAGCTTCCCCCCCTCCCCCCACCATCTGTCCATTCAGAGACAGAGTGAAAAATGGTACTTTCACATCTACAGCATCTGGTTCTTCCTGAGAAAAAGTTCATATTTTCAGCACTTGAGTGATTTTTCTGTTTAAAAGGAAGTTGTGTGTGTGCATGTGTGTATTTGTACATGTGCCTGTGTGTATATGCACATGTACATGTGCATGTTGGCTTTGCTGCAGTGGTCAAAGATAGTATGGAAGAGGAGCAGCAGAAAGGCAGCTTACTGTGCTGGATACCCAGGCGGGACGTAGTGACATCAGAGACATCAGTATTCCAGAAAGGAAAAGACCATCCATTTAAGACACTCTGACAAGACTTCCGACCAGGGATGAAGTCAGCTTCCTGTGGAAACAGAATGGATGATACACCTGACAGGGTGCATGAATGATCTATTTGCTGCTTAATTCATTGTATCAAAAGCTAGTGATATAAAACAGCACTAAATATTTACTATGTCACACAGTTTCTGTGGGTCAGGAATTTGCAAGCAGCTCAGCTGGGTGGTTCTGGCTCAAGGTCTCTCATGAGGTTTCAGTCAAGATGTTGGCTAGGGCTGTGACCATTGGGAGGTTCGGCTGGGACTGGGGGGTATGCTCCTTCATGTAGCTGGCAAGGGGATGCTGGCTATTGGCAGGAGACCTCAAGTCTGGCCATAGGGACGTCTCCAAAGTACTGTTTGAGTGTTGTTATGGCATGGTGACACTCAAACCAATGGATCGAAGAGAGGACAAGGCAGAAGCAACAATGCGTTTATGATCTAGCCTTGGAAGACAAACCCCACTGTTTCTGCATTATCTCCTTGGTTACAGGTGTCACTCCTGTTCAGGGTAGGAGAGGGCCACCTCTGGAGGGGGCCCTGGGGCCCTGCTGGAGGCTGGCTACCACATAGGGTAAAGAGTCTGTAATTGAGCTTCAGTTTCTGATCCGACAGCGCTGCCACAGGCTTCCATTTCTGCCAGGCCTTGGTTTCCTTCTGCCTTAGAAGAGACTTGTGACCAGGGCTGTTCTCAGTGATCTGGGAAGTGATCCTACAAGGCACAAAGCCCATGTTGCTAACAAATCTGTTTCCAGGGCTCCCTCCTTGCTGGCTTTCTAGCCTGCAGTGCCCAGGTTAAAAAAAAATCAAGTGGGATTTTGCAAAAAACAGCTATTTATCAGTTGGTGCTAGTCCCAAGAGTTATGAGCTCCTGGCTCTTTGCAGGAAATTGGTATCGGTGAAGGCAGAATATAACCCGTTACTAATGCAGCCTTTCTCCCGAAAAGGATGGTTTAAGGGCCATGCCGTAGAGTCTCCATCCTCCCAGGGTGTTCAGTCCTTGGGATGTGAGGCTCACATATTTCCTGGCAGCCAGTTCAGAACCTAAACGTCCTGAGCCTCCACTGGCCCAGGTGCAAGCCCATTGTTATCCCAACTAGCTTACTCCACAGCTATGCACAATGTCCAAGACACAAGTTACTCTAACTTAAAAGTGTGGGGGACATCCCTCCTCAGATTTGGTCCAGATCAGGGCCCGTTTGTCACACTGGCTTCTCCAGCAACCTGCTCAGATCTGCTCAGCATCCTTCCCAGCTGTCCGCTCCTCCCCATCTGGCGGGACAGCACACGGTGCTGTAGTACAATACCCAGGGCTGTTCCCCAGGCACCGCTCCAGGCTCGCCCCCTGTCCCGCCACCCAAACTTCTTGCCCTGGTCTCAGGTCTCCCCTGGCTTTCCATTTCTGCTATGGTTCTCGACTCTTGCTTGCTGTCCGGTGGGGACATGTGTGTGCTGGCCCGAGGGCCCTGGCTGAGATAGGCGAGAAGCTGGACTTAACATTCATGACTCATGGGCAGCTGAGAGCACTTGATGTTCCATGTTCATGATATATGAGAGAAACACTGCATGAAGCTACGGGCAAAGTATAATCCATACCTGGTTTGCATAAAAGAAGTGCAACAGAACACTGACTGTGAGTTTTCATGTGTGGTAGGGTGATGAGTGGTCCTACCTCTCTGTATTTTTCAAAGTCTTGATGGGGGCATGGGTTACTTCTGTAATCAGAAAAAGATACTTAAAAGAAAATGTGGTCCCCAGATGGTCAGGTCTATAATTTTTTCACCTGTAAAACTGGAGATTACCTGTCCCATGAAGTTGACTGTTGAAAAAACATGCAGGCCAAGCAAATTTTTTTAAACACAGGAGAAATCATGCTCATTCCTGTGAGGCATTTGTTGCATGGGGACAAGATGTAGAAAACGCCAGGACCTTTTCTTCCTCACCCGAAGACATTCTTCCATTTCTTTTACAGAGATGGGAAGGGGAGGGCAGAGAGAGACAGACAGACAGAGAAACATCGATGCGAGAAACATCTATCAGTTACCTCCCACATTTGCCCCAGCTGGGACGACACTCCAACCAACCCAGCCACGCCCACCAG